AAATCATTTTAAATAAATGAAGATAAATGAAGACTTGTTTCGTTTTGAATCTCTTGAATGAATGATTCAGACATCAAATACATTTAACACTCACTGTTCGCCACCTACTGGAATAATGTAACGTATACAATCATTATTTGCAGCGTATCATTACTTTCAAAGACCCATTTTGATCGCGGCTCCCGCAACATCAGAGTCTACATCCAGACTTTAAACTTTTATCAATACTTTCGTTATTATTTAATGTTTGCAACACAGAAATGTAGCCTACTGTGTAAGTAGACTGTTTGTGAAGCTGTTTCAAACAAAGCTTTACATGATGAGCGCTGCTCTCTCTGGATCAGCGGCTGCGCAAAAGCAGGTTTAAATATTCCGATGTGATTGTGAATTCAGAGGTTTAATAGGTCACAAATTTAAGGCGGCTTACTTATTGTTCTCTGTGTTTATTGTCCTCACAGAGATAACCAGCAGGAGTGACCTTGAAAGTCACCAGAGGGCACTCCATCCCATACCTTTGCCACTCAATCCTGGACTGCATTTCCCATAACCCATTGCCCTGACTCATCATGCCTGATTCACCTGTTGCTCATTACTGCTGCCTATATATAGGTATATATATATATATATATATATGCCTATATATGGTTTATTATTATGCTTATAATAAGCCCTGTGTTTTCTCTGTCACATTGCGAAGTCTTGCCAGTTGTTACTCTGTGCATTCTCCCTGGTTTTATGTCTCTTGGTTTTTGGATTTCTTGCTGTCTCTTGGATTACCCTTTTGCCTGAGTTTCCTGCCTTGTTGTTTGTTCGGATCGCTTGCCTGTGTTTTTGACCTGTTGGTCCTCAGTTTCTGGCACCTTGGCTTGAGGTGGTAGTTTTAGTATCTTGCGGAACTACTAGACTAGGGATGTGTATTGTAAATAGTTCATTTAGTTTTAGTTAGTTAAGTACTGAACCATCCAACCATATTTTTTATAATGGAGTCACTCAGAGCTTCCCAGAGCTCTCTGTCAAGCCTGCCCCCACAAGGTTCTCACACTGCCACCCCAGATGTTCCTGCCACTGGCATCCGGGCCCCAGAGATCCATGTCACAGACACATCAGAGTTTTCAGTTATGGCCACAGAGCTCCCTTTCTCAGCTGCTTTGGTCCCGGAGATATTGTCAGGGCTGCACCTGTGAAAGGTTCCTGTCATGAAAGGTTCATCAGGTTCCCCATTTCAGAGCGTTGCTGGTCCCAGAAGTCCTTCACACTGCTGCTCCAAAGGTTCCTGCCATGGGCAACTGGGTCCCAAAGATCCTGTCAGGGCGGGTCCAGAAATCACTGTGAAGGGTGCCCTAAAGTTTCCTGACGCTGCTTCTCCAGAACCAGCTGAAGCCAGAGAGGTCAGAGTCACAGGCTATTGCTTGTGAGGTTACTTGACAGGGTATAAGGTTTATGGAGCAGCCTAGTTTCTGGCTCCAGCCTAAAGGTTCCTGCTGCCGCCACCCAAGAACCTGCTATGTGAGTATATAGCAGCTGTCATAGCAGCTCTAGTTGCACAACTTCCAAGGTTTCCAGATATAACCGACCGGGTCACGCTGATGCCTGTCATGTCCACCACAAAGGTTCCTCTCATGCAGAGATTCATGCCACACCACCAAAAAGGTTTGAGCCAGGGATGTCCCTGTGTTTATTGTTGTAGCTTCACTCAGAGCTTGGTGTCCAAGGCTGTTCTGGTCCTAGAGGTTTCTGTGTCGACTGCATCAGAGGATCCTCAGTGTTTCTTGTCACCAGTGTGATTCCTCCATCAATACATTACACCTGTTTGCCACATTAAAACACAATGTGTTTAATGTATTATGCTGTATTATTATGTAAGTTTACTATTTTTAAGTTTTAAAGGTTAAGAGAGGTTAAGCCTCTTGTTGTAACGGTTTACATTTATCCCTTTACCAGTCAACAGTGTGTTAATTTGAGTAATAAAGCCAGGTAAGTAGAAAAGGTCAGATACACCATTTAAAATTGTACCCAGCTTTTTCCAAGCTTTTCTAATGCTTGATGGAAATACCAGCATCTCAAGAACGAATTAGTATCATTAGTATAATTTTTTAAATATTTTTTTTCACTTTAATAAGCTTGCAAAAATTATTTATATTTTAGAGCTGTCGGGACGGATTTCGCGGGAAAATGCATACATACGTCAAATCGCGTGAGGGTGCAAATTTACAAGTGTATCTTTTAGTGTTCACACTTCACACTACTTTGTGGGCAGGTGTACGTTATGGAAAACAGATCCCCACCTGAACTCTGACACGTCTACAGTATATACTATATAGTGTATGCGCGCCCTCTAGCGGAGAATCTGAGTTATAGGCTTGAGGACTCGGCAGTCGTAAGTATGCTTGTGAGCTCACGCGCCTCCCGCCCCAGCGAGGATGTTTATGTAAGAGCATTGTTACAGTTTAATGTTTTATGAAAACCTAATCCGTCATAAACAGTCAGTTCACATTATTTATGAGCCTCTTAAGATGTTGCTGCTATTATACATCTTACCATACTTTATACTGAGTGCATTATTTACCCACAAAAGCCACACTACAAATCTACAAGTCCAAATTATGACAAAAAGTTTAGAGCTAATTATGATTTAGATACTATAAATATAGAAATAAGGATGTTTTTGTCTCACACCAACGGCAAACTAATTGGTGGCTAGACGTGTTGCCTACAATATTGCGTGTTTATTGGTATTGTTTTAATGTACTGATTTGTGTCGCTGTGAGTTGGATGCGGATGGGAGGGGAAAACTCTGAACTGACATATGAGAAAGAGTGGGAGAAAAAGAGGGGGTGAATCCTTCTCTCTTTTCAAAGCTGTATCAGTGGACGGACGCCCACTTGCACATATTGCAGTTGCGTCTCATACATGAAGAGACTCACACCACAACCTTCAAAAGAATTAATCTGGAAAAACCTCACTCAGTTCCACGATTGCTCAATAATGCTGCACGCTTATTTGTGAAACTTCAGTGGACACGCATGAGGATCAGAGCGATTTCAGGCTTTGTTTCTATGAAGGAAATATGATGCTGAATTTATTATTTCAGAGCACATGTAAAGAGTGAACAATCCATCCGCAGTCTACTTCATCCAGGACGCCCTTCATCCAGCATGCTCACTGCGACTGTAGTATTTCTTCTCGTGGTGAGTACACAGTCTCCAACTCAGTATGCAGCTCTAGAACTTTTTCTTGCTCTTGCCACACATGAGAAAGCGGAACATCATAGCAGATTATCAGTGAATGGAGACTGTCACTGAAAAAATAAGTCTGAATTGTGTTTTATGATTGTGTAAGTTGTTTGAGATTGGAATTGGAAATACCATTTTTTTTTGTTTGTTTATTTATTTAGTGAGTCATTTTGATTACACTTTGTAATCAGTATAATAATCCATTACAATCAGTCATAATAATCAGTTGTAATACTGCATTGCAATACATGATCACCACACAATATCATGTCATAATGCATACATACATTCATGCATGCATGCTGTAATGCTTTATAATTGTTTCTGAAAACATTAAATGCATTATGAAGTGTATAATAAGGCATTATGAACACTTTTAAGATCTAATGCATCATACAATGAGGCTTCAAGTTCTGTTCTTTTTTTATATGATGAATAACCCTGATTATCTCGTCACGCCCACTTTGACAAACAACACATTGTGTTCTTTCACTTGTCTTACCAGCTAAAATGTAGTTATTTATAAGGCTAATTGTTATTTAGTTTGTGTGGGTGTATTGAATGAGGGGTGTATGTGTGTGCTATTGAAGCAAAAGCAGTACCAATAATGATAGATAATTCATGAAGTACACCACATAACTTCAGTCACATTTGTAAGCTTAACTGCTTTATTTTTTTATGTTTGTACCAATTTCCTGATAAAGACGTGTTGTGGTCACATGTCTTGTCTTGTTTCAGAACTGAAGCTACACCCATCTGAACGGCATGATGGGTGTGTGGGCAATAACTACTGTATGTCACAGTCAGAGCGGGTGCCCTTCGTATTAGTGTCATTTTAATGGTAGCTGAATTACTGGTAGAATGTTTTTCTTCCATAAAAGAAGTATACAAACACTTCTAGGCACTATAAATACAGAGTTCTGGCATGAAACTCTAGATGGCGCAGTCCGATAGGTCTAACTCAATCTGACCTAATGACATCATTATCACATGGCACAGCTGATTGGTTCTCTCCTGTATCGGTAGCCAATGAACTCGCTGCTCAGCATTCATATATTTGACTAGTGCTTGCCGTAGCAGTTGCAGCTTGCTTGATGGAAATACCAGCATCTCAAGAACGAATTAGTATCATTAGTATAATTTTTTAAATATTTTTTTTAAATTCTGGACACAGCACATTTTGCATTGCCGCAATCCGAAAGTTTAGGCAGCTGACTTGCTGCTTTACTGCATTATCAAACCGTGCCTTTTCAGGCAGCATTTGCACATGAAGGTACCTCACGAAACTGATTTCAGACAGGCTTCTGAGGCAACATAACAGTTTATTCATCTAACAAAATAGAGAAAGATTTGGTAATAACTAAGCAAGTATTTAATTACCAAAATTATATTTAATTGCCTGATTTCTCAGGTTAAAAAAAAGTCGAATTACATTTTTAATTGTAAGCATTTGGTTTCAACTGGTTTTAATTGAGTATCTAATGTTACAAAAACAACAACAACAACAACACGATTTTATTTTTAGTTTTACCATCGTGCTGTGGAGGAGGATTCGATTCAGAACTACAAACATGAATACATGGGGCGTTTAATATTTAATATTTTTTATATTTTAAAATTAAAATCTAAAATATTCATATAAAAAAGAAAAACCTTATGTGTAAAAAACAATTTTCACTCAGAGATTCCTATTAAATTTCACATACAATTACAAACGGTTATTAACTTTCACACATACAATTAGAAAGAAACTGCAAATAACACATTGGATTAAATGTTCAATTTTGAAGTAGAAAACTGAAACAGTATTTTCTAAAATGTACTCCAATAATCTTTGTTTTATCTACAACTTCAAAAATCAGTTTCTAGTAGAATTTTACTTGACAACAAAAGGTTCTTTATTGATAAATACAGAGTTCTGGCATGAAACTCTAGATGGCGCAGTCCGATAGGTCTAACTCAATCTGACCTAATGACATCATTATCACATGGCACAGCTGATTGGTTCTCTCCTGTATTGGATTCGGTAGTCAATGAACTCGCTGCTCAGCATTCAAATATATGACTAGTGCTTGCCGTAGGAGTTGCAGCTTGCTTCAGAAACCCTCCACCTTCCCCAGTTCCACCTGTATAGATCTGCTACGAGGTGATTCATGTATGCTATATGGGGGTTATTTCATGTATGTTATATTTGCAGCAGCAATATTTCTTACATGCTCACAGCAGCATGTTGTGGATGTATTGGCAGCAGCAGCAGCAGCGTAGCAGATCTATTCCGCACACAAACATTGTCATGTACATTACCATGCCAATCCCTCCGAGAGTTGTCATGACAGAACTAATTTTGGATGTTTTGGTACTTGCTTAGGAAGAAAATAAATGTTGTTGGCACACCCATGAGATCTCAAGACCCACAGAGACCGTTTGCTGTGCCAGAAACCCAACATATCATGCAAATTTTATATGACATGACATTTTCATTTGTTTTTCCATCTGTCTTAGACACACAAGTACAGATTTTGCAATTAATGAAGAAAATGCCCTCGCCCTTGCAAAAGTTATGTCCCCAATACAGAGGTATTCTGGGTGGTCGCTATGAGTGGTTGCTTACTGGCCCAACTTGAAAGATTCTCTGTGAGATTCTCGTCCCTAGATATAACTTCAAAAGAAAAACCTCTCAATAAATAAATAAAATAAAATAAAAAATCATGAAAATTTGAAATGTGAAAAAATTTACTCTAAATGTAATTGGAACTTGCCCTGTATTTCATTATGCAAAATGTCATAACTTTTTATGATGTGATTCTAAAGGATTTACAGGCAGAGCATGTGGAAAAACTACGAAAATTAAAAGAAAAAATAGGTTCTTAATTCTCCTCTAGACTCATTGCTTCTGGAAAACACAGTAGATCATATAGCATTAAAACACAAACTAAAGCAAGCGAGAGAGAAAGAGCTCCATTAGCTCCAGTATCCTCATTAGTGAGAGACAGCTTTAGAACAGTAGACGACTTTGAAATGTTGACAAGTGCCAACAGGCTATAAGGGTTAAGAGTTAAGTGCATTCAAGCATACAAACAGCAGCTCTCAAACATCAGGTTGACTTTGTGACAGACAGAACAGGAGGCAGAAACATTCTGCAGAACTGACAAATACATCCACATGATATGCGTATCATATTTTTTTGCCAATCATTCTTTGGTTATTCAATGTGCCAAATGTGTCAAGACATCTCCCTATAAATCACATAGGTGATAAAATGGTGTGAGTGTAAGTGCAGATTCTCAGTAAAATAAAGGAGAACTTTGGCATACTTGTCATTCCTGTTCCTATCTACACCTGTACCTTTTTCAGAAACATCACTATTACTATTGCTCGCCTCATTCTAAGGGTTAGTGATTTGAAGTTTAGTGACACCTAAAATCAAGCATCTCATCGCACTTATAGTTTTCACCAGGCAGATTAATAAATGCATCATAATTTTGTGGGGGAAAAAAAGAAATGAATACATTTATCAGGCAAAGGAGGACACATTTGTGATCAAAAGTGCCATTAACGACATTTGTAATGTTACAAAAGATTTCTATTTCAAATAAATGCTGTTCTTTTGAACTTTCTATTTATTAAAGATAATCCTTAAAAAACTGAATCACGGTTTCCACTAAAATATGAAGCAGAACTGTTGTTAACATTGATGATAATAAGAGCCATTATTGAGAATTGAGCACCTATAATAAAGGATAATAATTGAGCACCAAATCAGCATATTAGAATGATTTCTGAAAGATCATGTGACACTGAAGACTGGAGTAATGATGTGGAAAATTTAGCTTTAACATCGCAGGAATAAATTTCATTTAAATATATATTTAAATAGAAAACAGTTATTTTAAATTGTAATAATATTTCACAGTATTACTGTTTTACCTTAGTGCGCATAAGATACTTTTTTTCAAGAGCATTATTAAAATCTTAATTATTCCAAACTTTTGATTGGTGGTGTGATTTTATGTAATTTATATGAATAATTAATAATAATATTAATTATATTAATATTTTATATTTCTTGTATATACTAAATGATCATGTCCCTATAATAAATACATTTTTATAATGTATAATAATAATAATTATTTTTGTATTATTTTATAATAATAATACTAGAGCTGTCTCTTGAGTTAGCGATCACATAGCAAAGTGCCAAAAAACACTCAACACATGGTGGTGATTTTTGCAAGGCAAGCACCACTCACATATCTTCAGAAAATGTAAAACACTACACTAAAATTTAACAGACAAATGTTATTGATGAATGCATTTCATTAGGACCATTCTTAGGAGTATGATTAATGAAAGTCAACATGTTCTGAAACGCTACAGATTGTATCTACTTAAACAGCGCTGCACGAGTTACAGCAGCTTGGCCTCCTGTCAGGATGATTGTGGTTGCAAACAGGTTCTATGACATGCATCGTTGTTTGTGACCCTTCACACATTTCTACAAACATGGTAATCAAGGAACCTCATAATTGCGCACAGATTGTGTGATGGGCAAATCTCTATAGTTATCTCTTTGAGTCATGGGCTGCTGAACTTTTGGGGGTTGTTGAACTTTACCTGAGTTGGAATGCTCCTGTAGGGTTGTGTTTGTGTTTTTATGTGAGCAAGGAGGAGGAGGAGGAGGATGCCCCACGCCAGGGGGTAATGAGGGACAGGTAGAAACGAAGGGAATGTTAATTTGTGCTTTCCCAACCTCCTCTTCTTCTCACTCAGCTCTGTCACTACTCCAGCTGACTCACAAACGCCTTGGGGGGATCATCAAATCTGTCTTTCTTTAACTCTTTATCTCTGTCTTTCTTCCCACTCTTTTAAACGTCATTCCTCAAACCTGTGTCAAACGTCGTTATTCTGACAGCCACGCACTCAGCCAGTCAACTTTTGGCATTCTTGTTACACCCTCAGACATCAGCTATGCAACAGCTGCTTTATTTGAAGGCTTATGCTGCCTTCAAGTTATGTTGGAGAATCTTATTTATGGGATACACACCTGAATGGCATGGATTTAGAAATAGGGAACCACCATTTCCTATCATGAGAATAATAAAATGCATAAAGCATTCCTAAATGCTGTTAATAATTTTGTTTACATAATGAAGTTTAAAAAAAAAAAAAATAGTCACATTGTGAGATATAAAGTCGCAACCACAAGATCACAATAACAAGAAAAAGGTCACAATTGTAAGCCATAAAGTGAAACGGCAAGATATTAAGTCACAATTATGAGAAAAAAATTGCAATTGGGAGATATATAGTCACAATTCTAAGAATTAAAGTTATATTTACAAGATGTAAAGTCATAAGTACAATTAAATTTTTTTTAATCTAAGGCAAAAACGCATAGAACAGCCATAGAATTTAAAACTCTAATTTACATTTCCAAGAACCTTTTTTATGAACGATTACCACAGAAATTTGTCACGTTTCATGAATGAGTTCCCTAATGCACATCCTTTGCTTTTCATTCTGCTGCACTAGTGCTAAAACCCTTCCTATGTTTATTAGTAAGAAAAAGAAAACATTTTTTTTTATTATTTGAGTACAAAGTAGGGACTTCCAAGAATGACTTATAGGCATCATACATTTTTTGTTATTTTACCGTAAATAAAATCTTTGGACAAGAGGCACGTGGTGAAACACAGAATGGCTCTGTTCAGCTGCCATATTTATGCTGTACCCGTCAATCATACAGTCTGATGGATGTTTAAATGAAAGGCTGTTGTGAGAGAATTTAATTCAGGTTAAACAGTCCATGAAGATTTACTGTATATGAGGATAAAGTCTGGTAAAACACATTTATTCCCTTTTGAAGCTCTCTGATCTCTCCAAAGCAATGCTGTTGATAGGCATCATCAGACATAATCAGGACTAAATATTGCAACAAGTCTTGTTACACAAATAGTATTTTTGGCTCTGAGTCTGTGTGGGAAGTTGTCAGTTTCTGGGATCGCATCCCCTTGAGATAGACTCAACCAAAGCAAAGGCATGGGAGTGGGAAACGTCTGAACGGTCATTGGTTTCACGTCTATAACTATCTGTTCAAAATGTTATGATTTATGAGAAGTATGATTTAATTGCTTTCTCTCATGTTGTAAAGCTGTAATATTAGGTTAGCTCACAATGCGGAAGCTACACTAACTTCAAACAGTATCTAAACAGTAGTTATAATACTTAAAGCTGAAGTCATTTCTGTGCCACTTGCAGCAACAAAACAATTGCAAAAATAAGGATAGTTTCCCAATCACTCTTACTGGTCCTGCTATTGTTCAGACAAAAAGGAAATCCCGCCTCAAACAAATACCATTGGTCGATCCAAAAGCTGAAATGTCGGACCATTCAAAGAAACAGTACCATAGTGTTTTATTTTATAAGACATGAAATTGCTTAATAAGTGCTGTTTTTTTTCCCATCTGTAGGAATATTTCCTATTGAGGCAGGAATTTGGTGAATCAAAGGGATTGTCCTTTTTAAAAATTAGTCAATAAACTTTAGTTTATGTTATAGCCATGTAATATAAAATATATAATAAAGTAATAAAATGCTTTCTTACTTGCTATTGGTACTCAGAGGCTGGTGGTACAGTATTAAGGTGCAGTCACATTAGTGAAACTTTGGTGAAATTTCATTGGCAAAGTAGATCCATTGTCCATTGTCAATAGTGTAGCGATTCATGAAGCACCAGGCAGCTTCATATTGGTAAATCCGGCGAATTGCGTGTTTAAAGTTCAGAAAATTTCATAACGTAATAACAGTTAAACTGTCTCTGAAAAAGTAAAAAAAAAAAAAAAAGTAAATGAAAAGTAAATAAAAATGTTTAAAAAGTCACACTTTGAGATATAAAGAGAGAAAATGTTACCATTGCGATGTCACAATAATGAGAAAAAAGTCATAATTATGAGAATTAAAGTTATAAAGTATAAAGTATAAACTGCAAGATATACAGCCACAGATACATTTTTTATGTTTTATTCTGAGGCAGAAACAGGATTCCATAGAATTGAAACCTGTAATTTACAGAAGAACATTTTATGAACAATTAACAAAACATTTGTTCTGCTCACGTTTCATGAATGAGGCCCATAATGTGCATCCTTTGCTTTACTTTTTGCTGTGCTAGTGGAAAAATAAGTTGTTTTTACATTTTATTTCGGCCAAATTCACAACAAACAAAACTTTTTAAAATTAAGTGCAAAGTAGGGGCTTCCAAAAATGACTTTGAGATGAAAATGCTTGCAATTGTGAGATATAAAGTGACGTTGCAAAATATGAAGTTACAATTGCGAGATACTAGGTTACAGTTACAAGAAAAATTTAAAAGTTCAACAAACTTGAATCTGATGTGTGATCCACATTCACAGAATTTTGCTGTACAAGGGAAAATGTGACCGCACCTTTGGTGAGAGGGACATCCTCATTCTATAGAGAGCATTTGATTGGACAAAAAAAGTGCAAGTGACATTATTAGTATCAGTAGATTTTAAATGTGTTTATCTGATTAAATGTTATTTTGGATTTCTATGTTTTCTCAAACTACCTTTATTGAAGTCTTGATAAAATGGAAATAACGGCAGATCTTTTCTTCCTTATTGTGACGTACGTCCTAGTGGAAATGTTTTTTAAATACATGTTTCATTCACGTTGAATTTTCTTTTCATGCCAACTTTAATTGTACCCTCTTTCTCTCGATCTCTATAGGGCAAAGTCTTGTCTACACAGGACTCATGTCCTTCAGGGGCATTCACGACCAGTGGGGAGTGCTGCAAACAATGCCCACCTGGGGAAGGGATGGTGAAGCCTTGTGGAGTGACACAGACAGTGTGTGAACCGTGTCTTGACAGTGAGTATCCACAGAGATGTTGGCCGCAGCGTTGCTAAAATGAAGCAGCTGCCTTATTTAAAATGCCATTTCCTGTGCCGAACTCTCACTTGAGGGTAGGCAAAGGGCTTCTGAGCTGTGAACGGTAATTAGTAATTAAAGGGGAAATGCTTTTAGGAAATGAAACTTGACAAAACATTGTCTGGAGAGCTCAGAGACCAATCGGAGTGTTTTCATTCACTCACAGCTCTAAGTGAGATTAATTAAGGCAAAATCCAGTGGTACATGCATTTGTTGTACTGGCAGGGTCACGTAACAGAGTGTTTGTACCAAGGTTTGGGGGATAGATTTTTTTTGTATTTTTTACGGAGGCTGGTCCTGAGCCAAGGCTTGGTCCAGAGCCTGGCAAAATCCCACCACTTCCAAGAATCCCACCATCTCCCACATGTCTGTTTGCATGACCCAGCTGAACAAGACAAGATAGGAGAAGAGAGATAAATGGAAATAGAGTTGCCAGAAGAGAGATAAATGGAAATAAAGTAGTCAGAAATGTGACCAAAAATAGTCATCGTTTAGTATGTACAGTATTTATGTAGAGTTTCATGCCTCCTTAAACAAACAAACAAAAAAAAACTGTAAATATATATATATATATATATATACATATATATATATATATGGTAACACGGTAACACTTTAGTATAGGGACCAATTCTCACTGTATAACTAGTTGCTTATTAGCATGCCTATTATTAACACATTGGCTGTTTATTAATACTTATAAAGCACATATTAATGCCTTATTCTACATCCCTAATCCTACCCAATACCTAAACTTAACAACTACCTTACTAACTATTAATAAACAGCAAATTAGGAGTTTATTGAGGCACAAGTCATAATGAATGTTAATAGCGAGAATTGGACCTTAAAATAACCAGTAACACTTTACAATAAGGTTCATTAGTTAACAGTAGTTAACTGTATTAGTTAACATGAACCAAGCATGAGCAATACTTCTACAGCATTTATTGACCTTAATGTTAATTTCAACATTTACTAATACATTATTAAAATCAAAAGTTGTATTTGTTAACATTAGTTAATGCACTGTGAACTAACATGAACAAACAATGAATAACTGTTAATACAGTTAACTAATAACTAGTTAATACACTAACTAATGTTAACAAATGATACCTTATTGTATAGTGTTACTATATATATATATATATATATATATATATACAGTATAATTAAATACAATACATTATATATGTGTGTATGTGTGTGTGCAATATTGAATAACACACTACAGTTAAATTCATAATCAAATACTTTATATGTGCATTAGTATGTTAGTCAACACATCAAAATAAGTGTACTTTTTAAAAAGTATGACACAAGATTATTAAAACATAAAAACTCCAAGGTAATATTTTTTATTCGACATTATTACAAAGTGCACTTTTAAAAACTGTACTTAAATGTATTAAACACAGTCATAATTTAATTGAGCTTTCATAACTCAGAGTCTTATCTTTCATTTATGTATGGATAACTACAATGAGGCCCAAAGGTCTGAGAATAACAATTCAAAATTGTATTTTTTTTCTTTCATTTAAATGCATTTCACATAAACAAGAAGATATAGTGTTTTAAAACATTTTAAAGGTATGTCAAAAAGACACAATATAAAAAGATCTAATTTGGCACATTGATCATGCGGCTCTGGACATTCTGCAATTGTTGGTGTTTTTCAAATGAAACTTTTCACTGAAATTGTTATGCTGATGATATATTTTAGTAAACATTTTATTCATTTAAAAAACAAAAAACAAAATGGAATGCAATCAGACCTTTGGACCGCTGTATGTCTGAATGTTTCTTCTAAAATGCATTAGGAGAAATAAGAATAGACACAAATGAAACACTTGTTGTCCTACATTAAGAGTATAGAGCTATAAAATGATCATAGATGACATAACTGATCAGATCATATGGACTGAGAGGAGAATGAGAACATTCTCTGGAGAAAGTCTGAGAAGTAGGAGAATTCAGCTAAATTTGCTGTGCATCTAACCTTACTGGTGTCTAGGAGATATTAAAGAGATTTAATTTGTGATTTTATAGGATGATTTTGTATTAATGTTCATTCAACATATTAATCACACAGACAGATAACCTAAACTAACCTGCTCTTGAGTTCTGTGCTTATTACTTTTTTTGTTAATATTTAGTAGCCTTGGGTGAAGGTCACAGAATGGCATGTCCACCAAGACCTCCTGTCATTCACTACAACCCTAAACATTCTTTCTTCTGTAATTCCCATCTCTTCGTCAGGCCTTCCCTAAGGGCCTGTGCTGGGATCTGCGTTCCTCGTCCATCAACTTAACCATTAGGTGCTGAAAACCCCAAACTGTTCCTTTCACAGCCTCATAAGTCACCTAATGCTGCTTGACAGCACTTCAGCAATAATGTGTTGACATGTAAACGTAGCATTTGGGATGGTACTGGAATGAAAACAGCTGTTTAAGAAGTGATTATTTAAGCTAACTGGCCCATATTAATTCCTGACACTTAAGCGCTGTGTAATGTCAAAGAACCAGGTGTGTATATTCACCACTCACCTCCACAATTGACCTTCTCTATCAAAGAAAAAAAAAGAAAAAGAAAAAAATTCAGTGTCCTGACAAGCCCAACACAGCAACATTGGCTCAACCAATGGTGTGAGTTTAGGACGTAACTATCAGCACTACAGCACAATAACATTACTTATGGGTGACTCTGTACAGCGGATGGCTCCACCCAGTTACCTTCTGATTAATGTTACCGCCTGTAGCCCGCAGGGAGATTCTGAAGTTAACCTTCATGTGCCTTCTGTTTACTTGCAGTTGTCACTACAGGCTCCCATTATTGAACTGTAGATGAATGCATGACTCTTTAGCTTCGGTATTTAGCAAACTTTTGTTGATAATTCTAATGCTGGTACTCTGATGTAGTGATTTTACAGAGTGAATGGTAAACACTATCATAGTTTAGTTTAATATGATAAGACATTTATGATTAAAATATATTTTGGGTTCACTTGTGAAAAACAAGTGTGCTTAATTGTGCTGAATGTAAACTTAAGAGTACTTACAATTTTAAAAGTATATTTAAAAAATGTATTTAAAGATAATATAATATTACTGAAATAAAAGGCCACTTAAGTGTACTTAGATTACACTTTCATGACTTTCTTAACACACTTAAGTACATTTTTAAAAAGTAATGTCATATTAATAAGGTCAAATAAAATGTTTTACCTTAAAGTATATTTAAAATAAAATGTTTTACCTTAAAGTATATTTAAAATCTTTCAAAGAAGTATACTTTGATGTGTTGACTAAAATACTAAATTGCAACTTAATCATTACAAATGTGTAATTGTAAATTTATTTAAATACATGACATACAGGTTTCAATAGAAGTGACAACTTATATTTTAGTTACCATAAATGTGTTCACATAAATGCAGTTCACTTTAACCATATTTCAATATATAGGACAATAATAGCAATTCTGAAATTACATATAAAATTATACAGTCCTACATATAAAGATTTAAAGTCCTACTTAAGTGGGTCCAAAAAAACAACAACAACAACAACAACTCAACACTGAAACAAACTGAAGTAACTGCATTTAGCATAAATTTAAACTATAATACATTTTCATTTAATTGCAAATAACATGCAATTCAGTGTCCAAAAATATTACATTCAGTTTACATTTAAGTATATTCTTTTAATGCATATTATATACTGTAGTAAGTACTTTGTTGTCTGAGTATGTTAAAGTGTACTTCTTCACAAGGGTTATGTAGTTTGGGTTATGGGTGTGCTAAAATTGCTCAACTGAATTTTAAAAATCAGCTTGGTGTAGGTGTAAATGTTAAAGATGTACATGGTAACTATATGAAATCCAACCTGAATACACTCTAAATGTTAAACTATGACTTTGTTGCCTTTATTTTATGACTTTATTATTTTTTAACCACATCATAGTAACAGATCAGAGTTTCTTGCAAAGAATGAAGCTATTGTTTCTATTCACTAATGCTAATGTTGACGCATTAACACATCCATTTAGTGAAAGTAAAAAACTCTCTCAATTAATTTGAGTTCATACAAGCTGCTTGCATAATAATATAATATGTTATATTAATAGTTTTAAATGAGGAATAGCATGTCACACCTCAGGACATGTCAACTTTCATTATTCATCCAATAAGTACATTTTGAGTAATTATTGTGTACAAGTTAATTCAGACGTTTTGCATTGGACAAAAAAGTGCATCAAGTGGTAATATCTAAATTAACTGGTTTTATTCAATTCAAAAATAGTTCAGTAATAAAGAATAATAAATAATACATTTCTGAATCAATCACATCCAGTTGCAACCAACAAAAATAAATTTTCTGGGGTTAGATCAAGTAGAAATAGCTCTTAAAGCTAAATAATTTCAGGATCATTATTTATTTTTTGGCTAATAATATCTATATCGCACAAGCTATTAATAACCCATTTCGGTTGAACACAACTTCAAACATGTCTTCAGTCTCATATCTACTGTTTTGCATCTGAAGACATGACTATTATCTGCTATATTTTTTAAGACCATAGTTATCATATTATATTAGCAGTTCATACTAAAATAGAAAATTATGTACTGTCAGGGTATGTGTCCTTTTTTTGGAAACTGCCAAACAAAAGCTATTGACAGAACGTTACCTCAGCACTTTAGTCCTAATGTTGATTGACACATACACTTCATGACTTGTACAGTTGAGAACACCCCCACACATCGTCCGTCTGTCATAATGCATAGACATGCATTATTGATGGCTAGCATTATGCTAATGGATCTCAAAGGGCAGAGATCAGGGGAAGAGTATACAGACTCAGAGGTAGACAGGCTGAGTGGACGGGATTTCATCTGCAGGAAATGCACAGATTACCCATCACAGTCTCCTAAATAAAGCCCCAAATAACTGGCCCCCCAGAAGCCAGCACATTACCCTGTTATCATTAGGGCCATTGGTAGCTCAAGCACACAGAGGGAACCCATAATGTGCAATTCTATTTGTCCAGCACAAAGACACAATAACATTTCATCCAATTTGATGGCCAGATGTAAGGATAACTATGGCATTAGTATGGTATCTTTCTCTCTGCCACTGTCTGGTCACTGCTTCTATGAATATCCTGCCAGTGGTATATACTGAAACACTTGATATGGTATGGGACACTGGGGCAATGTGCCATAAAGAGGGGCCAGCCACAAGAGTTGTGCTGTTTCACAAACACACACACATACACATACATGGACAAAATAGCTTCCTGAATAATTTAGTGATAGCTAGACCTCTATCCACTAATATATCTGAATAGGATGGAGGATGGGAATACAATACCATGAGCATGCAGCATTAGATATTTGCTCTCCACTCTTTGCAATATTGACATCATCATTTCTTCTGGTAGCTTCCTGTAGATTCTAGATATCTATGAGAATACATGTGGCCAAAATATGACTCATGACTTTCTTTCACCCTTTTTCCTAAAACTAAGAAAGTATTTTTTATACGGCCCATTTTCCGGAAGCTGTGTCATTCTATAAAATGGTGCCATTTAGTATTTCAGAAAGCAGATTTAGAAATCATATTTTTCAACCTCGGCTCCAAAGTGCTGGGCCCATAACTGCCATAGATATTGTAAATCCACTAATATTCAGATTAGTGACCAACATGTATGGGATTTTCCCTTTCAGAATAGTTTTGGAATTTCTAAAATTTAGTATTGGTCTCATTATCAATCACACATCATATTTTGGAAGAAAAAAAAATTATCCTTTTAACCTTGTAACATTGTGGTTGATTGTAATGGGATTGGAGGTCGATGCCAAAATGGCTAATAACTGCTGAGCCTGTAAATATTTACAAAGCTAATATAAAAGTAAAATATATATTTACACACACGCACACACACACACACACACACACACACACACACATATATTTATTATATATATATGTATGTGTGTGTGTGTGTGTGTGTGTGTGTGTATATATATACACATACATACATATATAATGTCACACCCTCATGTCAGAAAGATCAAACCGTTACTTTAAAAGTGTGAATTTATTCAGTATAACAAGGTTGAAATGAACTACTGTTATTTGTGACCCTGGACCACAAAACCAGTCATAAGGGTCAATTTTTGAAATTGAGATTTATACACCATATGAAAGCTGAATAAATAAGCTTTCCATTGATGTAAGGTTAGATTTGGTTAGAGAAAGTAAGATTTGTTAGGATAGGACAATATTTGACCGAGATACAACTATTTGAAAATCTGGAATCTGAGGGTGCAAAAAAATCTAAATATCGAGAAAATCACCTTTAAAGTTGTCCAAATTAAGTTCTTAGCAATGCATATTACTAATCAAAAATTAAGTTTTAACATATTTATGGTAGGAAATTTACAAAATATCTTCATGGAACATGATCTTTACTTTTTGGCATAAAAGGAAAATCGATCATTTTGACCCATACAATATATTTTTGGGTATTGGTACAAATAAACCCGTGCTACTTAAGACTGGTTTTGTGCTCCAGGGTCACATTTTAGTATCATTAATATACTATGATTTTTTTAATTGATTTGTTAATATTTTGATTTAGATTTTATTTTCACACTTTCTGTTTTCATTTTAATTTTAGTTAAATTTTTTGTAATTTTGTTGTGTGTTTTTGTGATTTTTAGTCATTTTTATTAGCTTTTACTAAGTTTTATTTTAGTTTTTGTTTATTTATTTTTATTTATTTTAGTACTTCCAACTTCAACTGAATAAAAATAAGAAATGTTACCTTGGAAACTAACTGAAATAAAATGTTACATTTTTTTAAAAGTATTTTATTTAATTTCAGCTCATTTTTATTTTATTTCAAGTATTGAAACAGTTTTTTTATGGTTAGGTAATGATAATAACCATGAAATGCACAACTACAAATTTTGTATGTTCAAAGAGACTGTCTTCTTAACCTTTTCTCCTTTTGCCTTCAGGCTCGTCCTTCTCTGAAATCTTCAGCCACACGGAGCAGTGCCAGCTGTGTACACCATGTTCTGAACTCATGCGCATGCTGACGCCCTGCACTGATGCCAACGACGCGTTGTGTGTCTGCGACTATGGGTTCTACTTCAATAAAATGACGGGCCGCTGTGAGACCTGCACGGTGTGTCCTGTGGGCCAGGGTGTGCTGATGCGCTGTAATTTTGACCGTGACACGGTGTGCGAGGAGTGCGTGGATGACACGTATTCAGATCAGGAGTCCTCCTTTGACCCCTGCATGCCCTGCGCTGTCTGTGATCAGCCTGAGATGAAGTTGAGAAGCTGCACACCTGTCAGTGATGCTGTCTGCCAAGGTAGGAGAATCGAGTATAGAAATCAAATAGAAGTTGTGAATAGACGGGTTATCATGACACAGTGTGACAAATAGATTTCTGTTACTCAGCTTCATGCTTGGTTTTAAAATCACTGGCCAAGAAATTGCCCTGTGTGTTGGCCCTCAATGGCTCTGTTCTCTGGAGATGAAAGTTGAAGACAAGTTAGTTGTGACAATCAGATTTTTACATTTGAGTATGTCACCACTACAATACTAGTGTACTCGTTTTTTAAATTTATTTATTTATTGTGTTGATGGGTGGTTGCTACGGCTACGGCACTTTCTAGGTACCACCATTTTACATGCTGTATTGATGAAAATTGATTTTTCACTTCTTTTACATAATGCATTATCATAAATGTTCCCCAAAACACATAAATGATTAACAGTCTGTAAAGAATTTCATGAAGACTTCACAATACCATACTTGTAAAACTCTGTAGTATACTCACTATTTGGTATCATTTCAGGAGCTTGTGTCACAACAAATAGAGATTTCACATGCTGCATTTATCTTGATACATCTTTCATAAGTTTAATAAATTTTTATACTTATAGTTTATAGTTCTATTTAATAACTGTTTACGATTTTGAAATGTTTTTGAAAGAAGTCTCTTATGCTCACCAAGGCTGCATTTTTTTATTTTTACTTTTTAAATATGAAGTAAATATTGTGAAATACTGTTACAATGTGAAGAAACTGTTTATATTGTATGTATAAATTAAATGTAATTAAATATTATTTTTTCCTGTGATGCAAAGCTGAATTTTCAGCAGCCATTACTCCAGTCTTCAGTTTTAATATGAAGATTTAGTGCTCAAGAAACATTTAACATTTGTTATTATTATTATTATTATTATTATTATTATCAATAATCATTATTATCAATGTTAAAAAACATTGTGCTGCTTAATGATTTTGTAGAAACCAGGATAATCTACCATTTAAAAGTTTGGAGTATGTTTGTTTTTGGAAAAAAATTACTTCTTTTATTCATCAAGGATGCATTAAATTGATTTAAAGTAACAGTGAAGACACTTATAATATTACAAGAGATATCTGTTTAAAATAAATGTTTTTCTTTAGAACTTTCTATTCATCAATGAATCCTGAAATAAATAAATAAATAAATAAATAAACGTAACAGTTATCACACCAATATTATGTACCACAACCAGCATGTGACTGCTGAGAATTCAGCTTTGCCATCACAGGAATACATTTCGTTTTAAAATATATTCAAATACAAAACATTTCTTTTAAATCAGATAATTGCAGCCTTGGTGTGCATAAGAGGCTTCTTTCAAAATCCTAAAACTATTGTGATTATTCTAAACTTTTGACCAATAGTGTACATATTTATGTTAAAAGTTGGTCTGTAAAAGTATTATTTAAAAGTATTAAAGGGGTCATATGATGTTGCTAAAAATAATATTATTTTGCCCTTACGATATTGTGATGCCCTGTGTCCGGCCGGAGCGACAAGACATAAAAATTAAAACTCATTATAAACGAGGCATTTGTTGCATCCAGTGGGGACATAATTATGGA